CATATAAAATGTTTAAATTTTTCTTTCAGACTGCCCAAACTCATTTGTTTTTCATTCATAAATATGAGCTGCGTTTTCTACTTTTGTGAAGTCAGTTTCTACAAACACTATTTTAGCTTTAACTTGATTCTACCTTCTGTGATACTGAGCAAAAAAACAACAACAAAAAAACCTTTAATCTACCTTAAGACAAGAAAATGCTTAACGCATAAAGAAAAATATATACTGCAGCTCTTTTTGGAGTCCAAGAATTTTGGTAAATAACACCTTTTGGCTTATCTGCTCCTATATATTTTGCTCTTAATCCTAAAAGGCGTATGGCTTAACAAAGAAATAATAATAGTTACCCCCTCCCACCATACTAGTCATCTCCTATGACCCACAATTCTCCCCTCAATCTGCAAGTGACACCCAATGATAACGCTTACCTCCACATCATCTGATAGCCTTCAAATGTTGAACTCTAGTACAGTGGATATTTGTCTTTTCTAATTCATACTGTCTTTTACAGCCGTAGTGTGCTTCACCTGAGTTTTAAGCTCACATTTCAGAGAATGGGAAGTACTGATGGGGGAATCTTATCTTGTGTTATGAACTATTATTCTGCACAACTGTTAGTATGCCCATAGACTTATATGCAATTTATCGGCATAGAAACTATAATTTAAACATACGTCTTCAGAAGCAACATAAGAACTAAAAAAAGGTCTTAATATGGACTTCCAAAAAACAGTTATAAAGTCCAATTTTAGGAAAAAGACATGGTCAAAGTATTCTTTGCACTGACACAGTAGGCAAGCCAGGTGTTTGGGGCCATTTTACTTAAGAACCTGCCCTGTACTCCTTTCTTAAGGTAAGCAACTAAAGGGGCACTAAGGCAAAATACGCTTCCCAAGATGTAGAATAATCAAATCAATTGAGGTATTTAAAATGAAGAAAGAGTACAATGAAAAGCCGCTTTAAAACTCTAAATAAGACAAGCAAGGGGCTGGGCATAGTGGCTCACATCGAATCCTAGCACTCTGGGTCGTTGGATCACCTGAGGTCAGGAAAGACCAGCCTGGCCAACAAGGTGAAACACTGTCTCGACTAAAAATACAAAAAAATTAGCCAGGCATGGTGGCGGGCAACTGTAATCCCAGCCACTTGGGAGGCTGAGGTAGGAGAATCACTAGAACCCTGGGGACAGAGGTTGCAGTGAGCCAAGATCACCCACTGCACTCCAGCCTAGGCAACAGAGTAGAGGGTGGAAAAAAAGCAAGGTTATATGCTCACATAGCTCAGCCACTCAGGAGACTAAGGCAGGAAGATCACTTGAGCCTTGGAGTTCAGGCACTCTAAACTATACTGCACAATGATTATATCTATGCACTCCAGCCTGAGAATCACAGCAAGACCCTGAGACCCCATCTCTAAAATGAAAAAGAAACAAAATCGCTAAACCACTCAATGAGATTTACTCTGGGGCAATCAACAGACAACCACATATTCAGTTTAGCAGAGTCCCTCCCCTTTAAACTCACGGGGTGGAATGGAGATCTCCTTCGTAGGAGGTGGAAAGGGGCAATAAACTTAAAAATACAGACATCTATCTAGAAAGGAAGTTGCTTACTTCTGTGTCTTAATGGACACCAAGAAAAAAAATGTTTAAGGAATAAGCATTATTCTTTAAACACAGCATTTGCTATGGCTACCATTTAGAAAATCCAATATGGATTAGTTTGATTCTTTTTTTTAGAACATTTTAAAAATTGCTTGTCTAGGCCAGGCATGGTGGCTCATGCCTGTAATCCCAGCACTTTAGGAGGCCGAGGTAGGTGGATCACTTGAGGTCAGGAGTTTCAGACCGGCCTGGCCAACATGGTGAAACCCCCATCTCCACTAAAAACACAAAACTTAGCTGGGTGTAGTGGCACATGCTTGTAGCCCCACACACTGCAGGGGCTGAGGCATGAGAATTGCTTGAACCTGGGAGGTAGAGGCTGCAATGAGCGAAAATGGCATCACTGCACTCCAGTCTGGGAAACAAAGCGAGACCCTATGAAAAAAAAAATTGCAGGTCTGATATAACAAGGTAACTAAGCTCTATTCACAAAGGGGTCAAATTAGAACCACTCAACACTAAAATACCTTCTCAAACAACCACAATCACCCTATGGTTACAGATTACATGAATCAGGTCATAATAAACAGAACAAACCTAAAACTTGTTATTCACTTTAAAATACAATTAAAATCTGTGGTCAACCCAACTCTTTAGAAGATGCAGAGAGGCTGATTACAATGTAGCATTATTAGAGATGGAAGAGTAGCCTTAGTGACAGTGAAGATAAAAGTTTAGTACAGTTACTTCACTTTCTTCTCACCTTGATGTAAGTTGACAAGTGAACTAAGGTCTCATTTTCTAACTTTCAGAATTTTCCTCAACAGGAAACACTCACCTAACAAAGAGTGCTCTGCAGGTTTAACCAGAGAAATAACGTGTGTAGGCAGGAAGAAAGAAAATCAGACAAAAACTTAACATCTCACGTTGGTAAAGCACCAAAGTCAAATACGAATGTTCTGAATATGGCTTTCAAAAACAATGCAAGGAAACTTCTAGAATACTTCACTTCAGTAGATTCATAGAGATGGAAAGATCGAAAATTCCACCCTATCGCAAAGGCTCTAATAATTCTTAACAGATCATTCTTTTAACTGTTCACTATCACAGACACTTCCATATGCTCAAATGAGGTGGTCATCAGTGACAGCCATCTTCACCATAATAAAGACATTAAGAACCTTTGTAACCTTTAATGTTTCCCTCCAAGTTGTTCAAGAAACAAAAAGTCAACCACCTCAAATTATGAGGTACTAACAAATACACCAAATATGCTAAAGATCAAAGGAACCGCACACTTAGTTGCATAAACCTAGTGGAAATCCAATTCAGAATTTCATGACTGAGGGTAGTTATTCCACATTTATAATACATTTTTTAAATTCCCAAGGGATGAGCATTTTTACCTTGCCTTATTTTTAGAACTACACATCACACTGCACGTATCACATGACATGATGTAACTGTTAGCAAAGAAAATGGTCCAAACCATTGACAATGTGCATGGTAAGAGGATCAATGCATACTCAAGAATAACATTCCATATTTACTTTTAAAAAAATACGTTTAATTCACAACAGATTTTTTAAAATTGGAAAAACGTCTAGTAAACTATGTAGAAAAATCAGAAATGTACTCTGTATTTTATAAAATAGGAATTTGCTCAAATATGCGGAAAACTGATATGAAGAAACAGAAAAATAACATACTTCTAAAACTACAGGAAAGTAAAAATGTCTAAAAAAACCGAAATGCTAACGAAACACACTTAGCATTAGGCAGAAAACAATTACTACTCAAAAGTATTCACTGTTGATAGAAGGTTAAAAAAAAAAAACAGTTTTAACTGACAACGCCTGTAGACAATTGAAATTTTCTAAATTGGTCAGACAGTATGCTAGAAAAGGAACCAAGTACAGCCTATAGAAAAGGGGGAAGGGAAAACACACCCACTTGAGCCTTTGTAAATAATGGTCCTTTAAATGACCCAAAAAACAGAGAAAATAGAAATTACAGACCATCCTGACAAATGGAAAACATATTCTAACGTACTAGTTTCCATACTTGAAAGGACTTTGAAGACGAAGTTCAGTAGCAATCTGTAACTATATCATGATTATGCAAGGCAAAGATTATGTAATTTTATCGTTTATTTTAAAACGTTCTCCGACTCTAAAACTAAAACACTAAAACATTTTGATCTCTCCAAAGGGGAGAGGAAAGGTTCCTCTGGGCTGCAATTTAAAATATAAACACACACCCCAAAACAAACAAAAAAACACAATGATTGCTAACCACGTGACAAAGGAGATGGCAACACCAGGATTGTGAATGGAGGGGAGGGAGGCGAGGCTGGAGGACTAGAGAGATTTCTCGGAACTTTGGGGACCGCGGGAGTCTGTCTCTCGACCCTAGAGGCACTAAACTCCAGCCCCTACGAGTTGTGCTAACACCCTCAAGTACAGTTTTATTAATAGGTCACCAAAAATGCTCCAGTGACCTCCAGGATAAAGGGGGGGGGGATCGAGGAAGAGGAAAGAGAGCAATTTAAAGTGGCGCCATCATGTCACCCCTTCTCCCCTAAGGCAATCAATAAGCAATAGTTAAGTAACATGTTTCTCTTCAAATCCACATTGGGATACCAACATTGGAAAACAAGAGGATTTTTAAGTAAAACAAGCGAGTAGGGCTGTTTATCGTATGGAAAATATTAAACTATTTGCTAAGAATCAAAAGACGGTCAGCCGGAAAACAGGCCCCCCAAAAGGCAGTAAGAGTCCAACTCACTTAAAAGCAAATAAATGCCTCTTCCTCTTTAGTTAAAACACACACAAAAAAAAAAACAAAAAAAAACCCACGTCGGCCTGAGGGAGGCTACATCTGAAAACGTAAGTGACCTGAATTTACAGGCAACAAAAATAATAAATGAAACAATCAGAGTTGTGATACAAACCATGCAACGCGCAAGATATGTGTTTCGAGGAGAGAAAGGCCTTCTGCAGTCAAGAGAAGTTCAAGGCGAGAGCCAGAGTTTGTTTGGGGGGTTCTTTTACGGGAATAAATCATGTTCTCCAGGCCGCCTTTTTAAATAGAACGCCAAAGGAAAAGCTGGCGAACGAGGCGGCAGCTGCTGGGGAAGGGCCCCCGCACACCCCCGCCCTTGGGGCGACTCCCAGCCCGGACCCGCAGCGGGGAAGCCCGGAGAGGCCATTTAAAGTTCCGGGGGTTTTTTCTCCCCTGCCCTGCCTTTCTAGTTACAACTAACAAAGAGAGAGAGAAATGGGAGCCACAGGGAGAGAGAGGAGAAGGAGAAAGGGCAGCGGGAGGAGGAGAGGAGCAGCAGCAGCACCTACCACGTGATGGAAGAGCGTAGCCCGGGCGGATTCAGCCCCACAAAATGGGCGCAGTTTGCAAACAGCCCCCCGGCCTGGGCGCCGAGGGCCAGCAACGGGCGGGGGCGCGCGGCTGCGGCTTCGGCCCGGGCCCGCCGCTCTCCTCCCCCCCGGCGCCCGGAGCCGCCCTGACTTTCCGGGCGGGGGGGCGAGGCGGAGGGGGAGGGGAAGGCGGCGGCGGGGAGAGGCTGCTTTTTCTTCTCTTTCGGGCCCTTTCTCGGCCTTCCTCCGCTCCGGCGTGGCCCAGGCAGGGCCAGGGACCGCAGCCCGGCCGGGAGGGAGGGCGGGCGGGGGCAGAGGGTGAAGCCGTACCCCCGCCCCGCACAAACAAGCACCGCCGTCTGCAGCCCGAACCCGCACCCCGGCCGCCACCCCCGGCCGCCTCTTTCTGGCCGGGGAGCGCGCTTCAGCCGTTCCCCGCGCCGCCGCGGCGAGACGAGTCGGCTTCGCTACGGTGCTCGGTTCTCCCGCCGGCTCGGCGAGCGGTGGCGGCGGTGGCGGCGGCGGCGGCGGCACTGGGAAAATGGCGGCCGAGCTCCTTTTCCCTCCCCCCCTTTAATCTGAAGCGGAGGGAGAATGGAGCGAGCGAGCAAGCGGGCGAGCGCCGGGGACACGGGGAGGAGGGACAGCAGCGCCTCCGCCGGCTGCGGCTGCGGCGGCGAAGGGCCGCTCCACCCCGGCGCGCCGCCAGGGGGCGCCCGCCACGCCGCCCCCGCGGGCCGCCAGGAGGCGCGGCCGCCGCCGCCTCAGTCATGGCTCCTAGCCGCGGCCGCTGTTTTTGTGCCTCCATCTGCGGAGGCCGCGGCAACCGGCCCCAGCTGCCCCGGACGTGCGGCGACGGCACGCAGCACTGCGGCAGACGGGAGCCGGCCCTCGCTGCAGCCAAGGTGAGGCTAACCTGAGGCACACTGACGCCGTCACATTCCCTCCGTGCTGGGGCCGGCGGTGCGGCGCGCCGGCTGTGAGGGGCAGGGCGGGTCGGCGTCGCGGTGCGAGAGGACTTGAGCGAGGAACTGTTTGCACTATGTAGTAAAGAGGCTAAGGCCGTCGGCGCCACTCTACTCCAGGGCTAACCGTGAACTGAACCGGGCAGAAAACGCCCTGACCAGTGCAGCGGCTTCCGCCACCCGCCCTTTGTCCTAGCAGCCAGCCTCCGTACACTGCAGCACGGCTGGGCACTAGCCACAGCACCACGCTCCGCAGCTACCAGAGTGGGTGGCGGGGGCCGGGGCGGGGGGGCGCACGTAGTTTTCGCGCAGGCGCGAGCCAGGGCCCGCGCCGGGCCAGCCCGGGAAGGTGCAGCCGGGAGCCAGAGTGGAGGTGATGGCCCCGCCAGCGCCGGGCCCGCTGGGAACTGTAGTTTTCGTCAACACGCGTCTTGTTTGGGGTGTCACGGCTTGGCAGATCCGCCAAAACAGGCAAATGGCATTACACAATGAGTATTTATGCTTCCTGCCGCCACCAAAAGGAAGTTCACTGCCATGCTAAAGTTTAACAAAGAACTCCATAGAAAAACACAAATCTCACAACAAAAAGCCAACTTCCCACCTTGTTACCAGAGTTGGTTTAAAGTGGTGGCACCTTATCATTTCTCATGACCAGTTTGTCACTACAGAATTTTATATCGTTCCCAAAATACGGCCTTAAAATAATGGAATCTTTCCTGGACTTAAAGAATTCAGAAACATTATGTAATACAAGGTGTCACACTTACACAAAATGTAATTCTACCATCCTTTAAAGAAAAAGCTGCCAAAAGATGAGTACAGTACCTTGAGATTTAAAAGAGTAATCTAGGAGTCATCAAAATTAGCTTAAATGACTGAATAAAAAAAATGGTGCAAATCATTAGGTCATCAAATTCGGCAGATAAGAAGGGTATGTATGCTCTACTACCAAAAAGGAAGACGCAAAATGCTTCACACTTTTTTGTGGCTTACCAGAACCAATATCCGGCATTATACGTCATTTCTGCTGATCAAAAAACACCCATTCGTTACAGAACGGTTTTAGTTTTCCCACAAAGTTACACTAACTTACCTACCCCTGCAAAATCTGCACCTAGGTTTCTGCGAGTTTCCATTTATACTTTTTTTTTTTCAAGTTTCAGTTATTTATTAATCAGTGTAATCACCAATAGATTACATTAACATGATTTCATGCATTTAGAGAAGAAATATTTCCTGGTTCAGTGGAAAATTGTGCGGATGGCTTCTGGAAGACCTTCATTTTAAAGCAGCTTTACATTCCATTTAGAAATCTGGACGTTCTTTCTTCAGTTTGCTGTAATCCACATTCACTGAGTAGAACTTGTATTGATCATTGGGACCCAGTTTGTTCCAGGGCTCTGGGTTATTCTTTTTGTCCCAACAAACATCTGGATTGAACAATGCCAAACGCAAGAGATACAGGGCTGCTCCACCACCTCCAGCTCCAATAAATACAAAGAGGGGGATCAAGCTCGGATGCTTCTTGGCCTGACCTAAGATGAGGCGGAGCATGTTTGCGGCAGAGACCTCAGATTGGAAAGAAGAAAATGAGCCCAGCCACCAGGCCCCGGACTAAGTAGTATCTTCCATTTATACTCTTAAAATCACACTTTTAAGCCATGGTTCTCAAGCATCAAAAGCAGGCAGTTTAGAGTCATAGGGTCAAATTACACAAATAATAAACTAATATATGTATACATATTTGTATACACATCCAAAAGAGGTCCTTAGTCTTGGATTTTTAATTTACGACCTTGGAGGAAAACTTTAATTGACTTTTTAAATGTACATACATACACTATTTTTTACATAAATAGTAATTCAACAAAATACAGCAGAAGGGTATTGGACCAATAGATGGCGAACTAGAGCCCCAATCTGAGGCTTCTGAAATCTCAATTAGCAGAATGAAAAACACCAAATAAGGCAAAGCCCTTTGCAGTGTGTACTTAAGTATTAAATTCAGAGACACCATAACAAAATAATCTTACTACTGCTCCAAATTTTTAAAACTCAACTGTCATGAACTGTCATTAATTAGGCAACCAAATAAAGTTATATGAAGTACATTTTTCCAATAGATTAGGAGAAAGATGGAAAATGTTCATTTTTAAAACCATGTATTTGGGGAAAATAAAAATTCCACATTCCCCTTTCTCTCATTGCTTAGTGCAAGAGTCAGGAGTTCACAGGGTTCATGGCACTTAGTCAACCTGTTTTATATTTTATCTAAAATCACACATCTTTCTTCCTAGGCACCAATTTTTACTTTTCTTTTTTTTGACAGGCTCTTGCTCTGTCACCCAGGCTGGAGTGCAGTGGTGCAATCACAACTCACTGCAGCCTCCCAGGCTCAAGCAATCCTCCTACCTCAGCCTCTTGAGTAGCTGCTGGCACTACAGGCATATGCCACCATGCCCAGCCTTTTTTTTTTTTTTTTTTTTGGTAGATAGTCTCCCTATGTTGCCCAGGCTGGTCTTGAACTCCTGGACTGGAGTACTGGCATTACAGGCATGAGCCACTGCACAAAAATCTTACAAAGACAAATGAATTTTCTTAAATTTCCCCCCCAAAAAAGTGGATGTCAAAAAGGCTGATTGAAAATGCCTCGACACAAAATAAAACAAAAAAAGATTTAAGGAAAAAGGCCTGGTGTAGCAGCTCACTCCTGTAATTCCAGGACTTTGGGAGGCTAAGGTGGGAGGATCACTTGAGCTCAGAAGTTGGAGACTAGCCTGGGCAACATAGCGAGACCCTATCTCTACAAAAAATTATAAAATTAGCCAGGTGTGGTAGCATGTGCCTGCAGTCCCAGCTACTCTAGAGGCTAAGGCAGGTTTGCTTCAGCCTGGGAGGTCAAGGCTGCAATAAGCCATGATCATGCCACTGTAGTTCAGCCTGGATGAGAGAGTGAGACCTCATCTCAAAATGAAAAGTGATAAAAAAATGAAAAGACCATCACATGTCAAATCACTCTTGGAATAGTCATGGTTGACTCTCCAATAGCCACTCTATTATTCTGCTTAGTTTTAACCCATTCTCTTTGCCAGTGACTGGTTAGGAATGGCCATGAGATGTGAGCAGAAGCCCCCAGACAGCCTCCAAAAGAGAACTTTTAGAAAAGATTCTTCCATCCTAAAGATGATGGAGGAAAAAAACAGTCCCTCTTCCTCAGACAGTGACACCTCAAACTGCTACAGTCACCTTTGCAGCAAGACTGAAGATGCCACCAACTTCAAAGGGAATAGAGAGTTGTCAAGAAACTTGGTCCTTGGTGACAGCATTAAGCCACTGTATCAACAGTCTGACAATTTGCATGACTTCTGGATTTCCAGCCACATTAGAACAATGTAACAATAAACATGTATTAATTGTTTAAGCCAATTTGAGTTAGGCTCCTTATACATGAAGTCAAAAAACAATGATTGAGTTCTTATGTTTTTTAGTATTTGTATATAACTTTATGATTATGGTATTATATATAACTTATTTTATATAATCTTATTTCTTCAGAAAAGACATTCCGTGGCCACAAATGGTGACTGACACCTATAGTCCCAGCACTTTAAGAGGCCAAGGTGAGAGTATTGCTTGAGCCCAGGAGTTTGAGAACAGCCTGGACAAAATAGCAAGACCTCATCTCTTCAAAAAATAAGCAATAAAAAAATTTAGCCAGGTGTGGTGGCATACGCCTATAAGTCCAAGCTACTCAGAGGCTGAGGCAGGAGGATAACTTGAGCCCAGGAGGTCAAGGCTGAATTGAGCCATGATCACGCCACCACACTCCAACCCGAACAACAAAGCAACAACCTCTCTCAAAAAAAGGAAAGAAGACCGGGCATGGTGGCTCACACCTGTAATCCCAGCACTTTGGGAGGCTGAGGCAGGTGGATTACCTGAGGTCAGGAATTCAAGACCAGCCTGGCCAATATGGTGAAACCCTGTCTCTACTAAAAATACAAAAATTAGCCAGGTGTGGTGGTAGGCGCCTATAGTCCCAGCTAATGGGGAGGCTGAGGCAGGATAATCACTTGAAACCAGGAGGCAGAGGCTGCAGTGAGCTGAGATCATGCCACTGCACTCCAGCTTGGGCGATAGAGTGAGACTGTCTCCAAAAAACAAGAAAGAGGGAGGGAGGGAGGGAGTGAGGGAGGGAAACAGAAAGGAAGGAAGGGAGGGAGAGAGGGAAGGAGGGGGGAGGGATGAAGGGAAGAAAGAAAAGGAAAAGAGAGAGAAACAAAGAAGGAAAGGAAAGAAGGAAAGTATTCCTTCTATACACAACTCTGTAGGTACAGATAGACATAGATATCCATCAGATATCCATCTTTGTCTATGTTCTCTCTACCTAGAAAATCAAGACCATCCCTTGTCACCACCATTCCTTATTCATTCCTCTCTCCAATCCACCTACAACTCATGTTATCCTCTTATATTCCACCACACCACTGTTATCATTTGCTAATTTCACTTAGCAATAATGTAGGCTGGGCAAGGTGGTGCACGCCTGTAATCTCAGCACTTTGGAAAGCTAGGGCGGGCAGATCACCTGAGGACAGGAATTCGAGATCAGCCTGGCCAACATGGCGAAACCCTGTCTCTACTAAAAATACAAAAATCAGCCAAGCATGGTAGTGCATGCCTGTAGTTCCAACTACTTGGGAGGCTGAGGCACGAGAATCACTTGGGCCCAGAAGGCAGAGGTTGCAGTGAGCTAACACCACTGCACTCCAGCCTAGGTGACAGAGGGAGACTGTCTCAAAAAAAGAACCAATAATGTACAGAGTTAGCACTACATTACCCCTGGTTAAATGCTCTCTGTAATTCCTCTGAGACTGTTTTCATATACCAGTCTTGCCACCTCAAGCTAGCCTGAAAGCCCTTGCAGGCAGGAACTGTGGTTGTCCTTATTTAAGATCTGTAACTCTCATCTACAAATAATAAACATATTCCAAAAGGCACTAACTTCTCTACCACAGACCTTCTAAAAAAGCCAGAAATTCCTAAACAGAATATTCTCTCACAAATTCAGTACCGTGTATGTCCAAACTAATCTCAAAAGGACAATGAATACCTTTTTTTGCACTTAAAAAAGAACGAACTGTTATATATTAACTGAGGACAAGTCCTAAAGCCTAGGCCATTTGGTTTCAAAAGCACCAGGACCCCTTTTTTGTTACCTAGGACTTAGCCCAGAGCCTGGCACAAGAGACACATCATAAGAAGTGACTGAATAAATGAAAAAGGTTAGAGTGTTGTACTTAAGTGCACAGGACCCAGGGTTGCTCCAGATTTTAATCCTGCCTCCCTCACTTACTCTTTGTGTTTCTTTTTTTTTTTTTCCCGGGAATCATAGAACTTGCATATTCAAGTTCTGTGGTAGTTTAGGGGCATCTGAGGTCACTTCCGAGTATTGGGTCTCTAAGGTTGTTAGATACATTACCATAGGGTCATTTAAATAATTGGTTCTTTAGAGTGCTTAGACTCCAAAGAATATCCTGAAATTATTCATTCAGGATATTTTATGCATTTGAGTTAGGATTGTTTAGGGTTCAAATGCCTTAAAAGTCTTATAGAGATTTTTAAGGTTTAGGTTCTATTTTGATTGCTTAGAGCTTTTTAAGGGTGATTTTTGTCACTTGGCACCATTTATATTCATGGGAAATTATTTAGCATTTAAAGTTGTTTTTTTTTCTCTTTTTTTTGAGAGAAGGAATGAAAAAAAAATGAGTAAAGGAGAGGAAGAAAGAGGGAGGGTGAACAGAAATATTGCTTTATTCTGAAAAAAAAATGGGTATTAATAATGGCCAATCAATGTTTCATTTAAACCTATGAGTAGGTGTGATGTGGTATTGACAAGAATGTATATTTTGTGTATTTGAAGTGGAGAGCTCTATAAATATTTATTAAGTTTACTTGTTCCGGATCTGAGTTCGAGGTTACCCACAAAGGCAAGCCAATCAGACTTACAGCAGATCTCTCAGCAGAAACTCTACAAGTCAGAAGAGAGTGGGGGCCAATATTCAACATCCTCAAAGAACAGAACCTTCAGCCCAGAATTTCATATCCAGCCAAACTAAGCTTCACAACTGAAGGAAAAATAAAATCTTTTATGAACAAACAAGTACTCAGAGATTTTATTACCACCAGGCCTGCTTTACAAGAGCTTCTGAAAGAAGCATTACACACAGAAAGAAACAACCAGTATTAGCCTTTCGAAAAATATACCAAAAAGTAAAGAGCACCAACATAAAGAAGAATTTACATCAACGAATGGATAAAACAGCCAGTTAACATCAAATGGCAGTAACCCTAAATTTAAATCGACTAAATCCCGTAATCAAAAGACACAGCCAAAACCCAATGGCATGTTATATCCAGACCTGTTTCACATGCAAGGATACACAAAGACTCAAAACAAAGGGATGGAGAAAGATTTACCAACCAAATGGAGAGCAAAAATAAATAAATAAATAAATAAATAAAAAGCAGGAGTTGCAATTCTCGTATCAAATAAAATAGATTTTAAAGCAACAAAGATATAGTGGTAAAAGGATCAATGCAACAAGAGCTAACGATCCTAACACCCAGATACATAGAGACTTAGATTCAATGAGACAGAAAATTAATAAGGATATCAAGGACTCTTTGTGTTTCTTTGGGCAAAGTACTTAATCTGCTCTGTAAAATGGAGATAATAATACCACCTACCTCTTCTATTACTGTTATTAGTGAATGAAGCTATATACAGTTCTAAACTTTAAATATTAAAATCTGAGTTAAGCAAAAATCAGCACCTCTTTCCTAACTCAAACTTCAAATGCCTATCTACTTAGAACTTGGACCTAATTTTTATTTATTTATTTATTTATTTTTTGAGACAGAGTTTTGCCTTTATTGCCCAGGCTAGAGTGCAGTGGTGCAATTTTGGCTCACTGCAACCTCCACTTTCTGAGTTCAACCGATTCTCCTACCTCAGCCTCCTGAGTAGCTCAGATTACAGCTGCCCACCGCCACGCCTGGCTAAATTTTTTTGCATTTTTAGTAGAGATGGAGTTTCACCATGTTGGCCAAGCTGGTCTGGAACTCCTGACCTCATGATCTGCCCGCCTCAGCCTCCCAAAGTGCTGGGATTACAGGCATGAGCCACATCGCTGGACTTAATTTAAAAAAAAAAAAAAGCCTGGGTATGGTGACTCACACATGTAATTCCAGCACATCAGGAGGCCAAAGAGGGTGGCTCACCTGAGGCCAGGAGTCTGAGACCAGCCTGGGTAACATAGTGAAACCCAGTCTCTACTAAAAATACAAAAATTACCCCGGCATTGTGGCACATGCCTATAGTCCTAACTACTTGGGAGGCTGAGGCAGGAGAATCACTTGAACCCAGGAGATGGAGAATGTAGTGTGCCAAGATAGGACCACTACACTCCAGCCTGAGTGACAGAGCGGGACTCCATTTCAAAAAAAACAAAATCCCTGTCTACAGATTCTGGCAAACAATGTTTTCATTCATGAACTTAGATAAAACTATACATAAAAATACTTTGAGCTCCCTAAAAACATTCTAATTCTGAAAAAGAGTATTTATAATCATAAATCAAATGCCACATTAAATACTTAAAATACATTTAATTCAACAAAAATCTAGTGAGTACCTATTAAGCTCAAGAATTTATTCTAAATATTGCAGAAATGAACACATCAACCTATTTGAAAACCATTATTAAAATGAAAACCATTATGAAAGAAACATCTTTAAGCTGAAACTGAGGCATGTTCTCACATTAATATTTAACCGGCTAAATATTAAATAGAAAGCCAGAGTAAACTGAACCAAAGTTAAGAAATTTAAGTCAAAAAATTTGAGATGTAGAAGGAATATGTTCAGCCTCCACATTTTATTAGTGTGAAAATGAGGCCAACAGAAAGAAGCCAATTAAGAGACTGCCAAAGCCTCAAAGCTGGGATCAGGGTCTTTCAGGCTTCAATTCTCACTTTTCCCACTTCTAATTCAACAGTGCTACTCACTTGAACTGGACATGCAAACGTGAAAGAAATTAAACCTAAACAATACTACTTATTTCACAGTTTCACGGTATAAAGATTTGGCCAAATGCAAGTAGAAGAACATTCTCACAATGATTACAGTGACTACAAAGCTCGGAAATCAAGATTTTTTTCATTAAATGGAGGCCTTAACTGATTCAAAATATCATACAGTATTTTTATGTACTAAATCCAGTAGAAACAAACTTTCAATATGATTAAACAACTTAAGGTATCTGAAAGCATTTCATAAATGGCAAAGTATTACAAGAACGCATAGCACTCCATTTCAATCCAACCTAACAACATAATTTTCCTCCTCGTACTACTGATACAAACTCCAGGATTTACATAAAGATAGTATTTTACCATCTTA